ACATGGCTGATGGAGGTACGGCCTGCAGAGGCTCCCTTCAGATGATGGGGCTGTAACTTGAGAACGTCCTCTGCCATCGACCATATTGTCCATCAACATTCACTCACCCACTTATTTCATACCATCACATGAGTGGCAGTGCTGTAACTATTCAATCTATAACAACAATAACATTATTTATAATTTAAGTTAGAGGAATGACTCCTTGTACCACTTGACAAAAAGTGCTCAACAATTGGTCCATGGCTGTTTTCATTTGCCTGAAGCAGACTCACAATCACAGGCGTCTTTAAATGAGCTCTGTCACATATTTGTATAAAGGATAAAAAACAGAGGAGAGAGCACACACAGCAAACTGTATCTGATAAAAATCCATTCACTCTGACTAATTGTGTCCTGTTTGTTTAAAAAAATCTAAAAATCCAGCCCACGAGATTCAGACTTAGGTTTAAATGCTCTAAAAGCCTCCAGGTTAAAATGTAAGGTTGTATTGTGTTCAAAGCAGATGGAAAATCAAGAAATAAAAGCCGAGCATGACAACCCTTTTCCTCTCAGTGTTTAAAAAGCAGGTGAGTGAGGTGTCCCGCACTCCTCTGTGAGGCCTGCAGGCAATCTGAAGCGGGTCATGCATGGCCATGCTGAGTCAAGGTTGTTAGCTGCAATTTTCCTCTCCAGGTCTGATTTAGAATTTTGTTTTGCTCTTAAAAGGTACAGTGTGTAGAATCTAGTGTTGAAATTTCATGTTGCTGCTAAACGCCCCTCACCCTCTCCTTCCAGACATGAAAAAGAACCTGCGGCAGCCTCCAGTTGTCATAAAACTCTCAAAAGGTGTTTAGTTTGTCCAGTCTGGACTAATGTAAAGAAAACATGGCGACCTACGTAGAGAGGACGCCCTCGATGTAAATATAAAGTGTTTAAATATAAAGGGCCTTTTCTGGGGTAAGGAAAACTACAATTCATATAATTTAGATGAAACGAACTAGTGAAAACATCATGAGGATTATTCTACATTAAATATCTGCCAACAATTCCCTTTCACCTAAATCTTACACACTGGACCTCTAAGCTCTTTGGTAGCGATATGCAGGTCAGACGTGTCCCTCATTTTAAAATCACAGTTTAGCTGCAGCAGTGCGTCTCTTGAGTGGGACTGAGAGCTCCAGTGACATCGCCACTAAGTAAAAGACAATACAAAATCCCACACAAGAAAAGATAAAAAGGATCCATTTTAAAAAGTGTGTAGCAGCACAAGAGCACTGAGTCATGGATAAAACGACCAACAAACATTTAAAACGGACATAAAACACACTGACAAGGACACCAAACTCTCACTGCTGCGTGTGCATGCTTCCTTAAGACTAGTTGGAGCAGCAAAAAAATTGTATATCTTAGTTAGTCTCTCATTTGATATACATTTCTCTTCATAATGTTTCTGACTATGCTCATATCAACTTTCATGACTTTTTACTGCACAGTGATTGAGAGAATTCAAGGGAAAGTCTGTGAAAATTGCCCAATGCATTCATACCTAAACAAACATAAAGCAACACGTCTTACTCTTCGGCCGCTGAGAGGATCTTCATCCCCTCCGGAAGGATCCCCCTCGTCACAAACACCTTCAGGAGTTTTTCACTTGGCTGGACAGACTTTGTCAAATCGTCACCAGACCGAAGAGCAGAGTCTGACAGTTTGTCAATGTACATGCATTCCTTCTCTTCCATGTGTAGTTTTTGTTCTTCAATTGCAGTCTGTGCGTGTCCTTTCTCGTGTTGTGTGGCTGGTTTAAACATAAACCCTGGAGCTGATCAAACAAACACAAAGCAAACTTCATTCCAGTACCTGTCAAACAACTTGAGATCAGTGATGGGTTGTGAATGTGTAATGTGAGCGCAGGTCAGAGGAGGAATCAGACTCAATTTCTCCCATGAAGCACTGTGATCTGTGATTATGGTCTCATTCGCTAGATACCCTCCTTCTTATCAGAGATCTGGTGGTCCATCTGAAAATAATATCGTAATTAATTAGATATTCGATCTTAAAAAGCTGTAGATTTTGGGGTGTGTCTGTTTGATTGTCAGGCAGGGAACTGAAGGGTGTTGGCTGGCAACGACTGGGCTGTGAATCATCAGGTGATGGCAGAGGAAAGTGGATCAGGAAGTGAGATGAAGTCAATGGAGGGAGATGTGATGATTGGTGCAGCTCCGAAGACCAAAGGTCAAATACACGAAAAAGTCAGTGAAAGGCAGTGATCCAGATTATAGTGTAGAATATAAAGTGTTTATCAAACTGTCTCTGAAGAGGGAGCGTCGTTTGGTGAGTGGAACCTGATTCAACTAACGAAATCTCTAAATAAACTGCTGAATGAGACTAAAGGAGCCAGGATATTGAGAAATGGTGCATTGCTTGTCTCATATAGAGAGAGAGTACACAACAAGGGAAAGATATGTGATTGACAAAGATGGAACACATAAAAGTGCAGTGTCAGAGGAGTCATGTCAGGAAAACCAACAGAAGTGCCAGTTGACCTAATAAAAAAAAATCCTGGAGGGAGCTAGTTGATGTAAAACGTCTCAAAACAACTGGAGAAAAATGTGAGAGCCTGACTGTTATGATCAAATGTGAGGAGACCAGACTGCCAGACAAAGTGGTTCTGGGTTTATGAGTTATGAGGTCAAGAACTATATTCCTCCCCCACTGCGATGTTTTATATGCCAACAATTTTGCCACAGCAGTAAACTGCAAAGGCAAAAAGAGATGTGGAAGATGTGCAGGTGATCATGAGCACGGAAAATGTGAGAGAGGAGCAAAGATAAAATGTAACTGCGGAGGAGAACACAGCTCAGCCTATCGAGGGCGCAAAGTCAACAAGAAAACAGCAGAGGTACAAAGAGTTAAAATGTCACTGGGGATCTCAGATGCTGAGGCAGTGACAGATGTCTCTGAAACAGAGGTGACAAGCAACAGCTCAACAACTGCAGGGGAAGTGAAATACCTGCTGCGAAGAAAGATACACTCATTGTGGGCAAAAATGACTTTGTCCTGTTTATGCTAGAAGTGATAAATTGCTCATGGCAGACAGATAAGAAAACAGAGGATAGCAAGATCATTATAAAGGCTGCAGAGAAATAACTTGAAATCAAAGAACTAAATAGGATTTCGTTATACAACATTCAGGAATAACAGGAAAAATGGAGAAGGTCATAACTTTGGTGAGTAATGGCATGAGGTGTTGTGCAAGATAGGACAAGAACATTCAAAAGCATGCAGGCACTGGTGAGAGGAGCAGAGGATATTAAATCATTACCAGTCTGAAAAGTGGTCATACAGGAATATATGAGACTTCATAAAATAGGCGAACACTGCAAACAACCGGACACTGTCATTCCTGTATTGATAGAATGTAACAAGTATAATGAACAAAGAAAGAAATTAATATCAGGATTAAAAGACGAAAAGCAGAATATCACATTTGTTAGGAAGGACATCAAAGAATAAACATTAAATTCTAATTAACTCTTTAAGAGAAAAAATAATTTAATTCATATTTTAGTTTTGTTTGTTGCCAATCTACTGTTCCACACTCCAGTCCAGAAGGTGGCGGTAATGCCCCTATAAGCTGGTTTGCCAACCGCCCATAAACACCAGAACTGAAACATAAGCTGTGAGCCAAACTAATGTGAATGCTCTGGAACTAGTGTTAAAGAATAACATGGTTGATGTCACTAAAATTAAGACAGATGAGAAAATAAATTATGCACTCAGTGATTTTTATTAATCTATTTCAGGTTTGAGGATTTCTTAAGACATCCACAAAATATTACAGTTCTACTGAAATATATGTTTTTATTCTTCAGAATAATCAGAGCAGGAGTGTTGTACTGTTCACTAACAGCTGACATGGAGCGTCATCATCAGATTAAAGTGCAGACCAACAAGTGTATTTCTAATCTTCATGGCAACAACTTTAGAATGAGAAAGAAAACATTCTTTTTACTATAAAAACTAAGGAGTGCTGCTAGCTGAAAGGACTAAACTTTGCACTAAGCATTTTCTTCCAAAAAAAAATGCACAGTAAAAGTAAAAGTGCAATTCAGTGTTACTGTGACAGAATAAAAACTTTTATCACATCTGTAAGTTTTTGTTTCCTGACATCTGCACAGCATCAGAGGAGGCACCAGGCACAGCGGCTCCGCTTCAGACTCTAGAGGACGAGTTCTTTGGGCATCTCTGTGCCCCGTAATCCACCCAGCAGGTTCTGCACCGTCAGCACTGCCATGACACCTCTCGTGGCGTAGGTGGCACTGCCGATGTGCGGCAACACCACTTCACAAGAAGGAAGAGGATAATGGGTACCATTAAAAAGGAGAATCAAAGCAAATCAGATTTTGTCACATCAGGAGGCGAATTTCTACTCACCACAGTTTTTGAGTGTGAGAAGGGGATGGTTTGTTGGGAGTGGCTCAGGTGTTGTGACGTCCAGTCCAGCGGCAGCTATCTGTCCACTGCTCAGAGCCTCGTATAGATCGTCCTGGTTCACCACAGTCCCCCTAAAACCAATAATTCACCATGTTGTTGTCCTCATGTCTTGTACAAACAGAGATGTGAGAAGAATCTACAGTACAGAGAATATCAAAACACAGATCTTACTGACATTGTTTATGCTGATGTGGTCACATGAGAAACATGAAACTGAAATTTCATATTCTTGGATCCCAATTAAGTGAGATATGGGCTAATATACCACTGCAATACCACGGTGATTATCATCATCACCGTCAAACCTCGGAAATATGTTGTTAACTGACTGGAAACTACTCTTAAAGTCTACCTGCTTGAGTTGATGAGGATGGCTGTGTTCTTCATCTTGCTGAAGAAGGCCTTGTCACATAGCCCCAGGGTTTCTGGAGTCAGGGAGCAGGTGATAACTATGAAGTCGCTCTCAGGCACAAGTGTGTCCAGAGGAACTGTTCCACAAAGAGAAGGAAGATTATTATYTCAAAACTATTCTTATTATACAGTTTTAGATTGGATTAGATTCTTACCAAATTCTCCTTTCACCTCTGCAGCCTGGGCATTAGCTGTTGTCCCAGAGTAGAGCAGCCGCTTCACTCCGAAGGACATGAGTCTCTGAGCAACCGCCATACCTGAATAACACATGTTCCTAGTTAGTTGAGGTTACAGTTAGTTACAGGATGTAGCCATATACCAAAGTAAAAGAAGAAAATCATCATCCTTACCAATGCGTCCRAGTCCAATGATTCCGACTGTGCTACCAGAGAGACCATATCCACGCAGCCAGAGCGGGTCCCACGAGCTCCAGCCACCACTGAGAGCAACACAAACATAGTTTGACCATTGTGCCACTCAGTTGAAGTAATTACTTGTTCTTTTAGGTTAAAAAATAACACAATCAAAAGAAAACACTGCTGATATGAGTCAATGTGTAACTTTTTGAGACTGACTTCTTGACCTCCTCCATTCCCTCTGGTAATCTGCGAGCAGTGGCCAGCAGCAGAGCCACAGTCAGTTCAGCCGTGGCATCGGTCAGCACATCYGGAGTGTATCCAACACGTATACCTCTGGTGAACCCACAGTGTTAGAACTTCAGAGGTCATGTGGCACTTTAGTCTATTAGTCAAAGCTTGGTTTTGACAGCATAAGCTGCAGTTTGTTAATGTAACCTACCTTTTTTTAATTTCATCCAGAGCCAAGTGGTCAARCCCTGCAGACATGGTGCTGATCACTTTGAGGTTTGGTCCTGTAATCAGAGACAGATCTCGACACTAGTTCATTTGATCAGACGGCTACTGGTTTGACAAGTTATTTAATTTAAGCTGAAATAGTGAATGGATATTGAACTAGGACGACAATCAGCAGAGCTCATACATCCAACAGGGCCCATGGGTCCCTTTAAATTCTATCAAGCTGCACCAAATTTCACACCTGCAGCATCCAGGACCTCAGCATCGATCTTGTCTGTCAGCATACACAGGAGACCATCAGCCTTTTGAACGCCTTTGAGAAGCTCTGCTCTCGGCAMCGGTTCACTYGAGTCCCACAGAGACACCTCACACCTGTTTGCATGCACACAAYAATGGTGGTAAATAAACATGARGCCTGTGAGAAACATGGCTGATGGAGGTACGGCCTGCAGAGGCTCCCTTCAGATGATGGGGCTGTAACTTGAGAACGTCCTCTGCCATCGACCATATTGTCCATCAGTTTGCATAATCTATTCTACTAAACTACTCACTCACCCACTTATTTCATTTCTCTGCCTCTTCATCTGTACCCTGTATCATCTCATTTAGTGTCTGCCCCCCTCACAATGCTTCGTGACCCTCATCCCCATGCATTTGTGCACCATCACACGAGTGGCAGTGTTGTAACATGAGAAAAAACTGTCAACGTACAAAAGAACATACATAAGTAGATAAAAGATAAAAGAGGCTGCACCCAAAATCAAAAATAGGCCAAAATATGTTGCGATAATTTGTTATTGGTTATTCTGTCCAGCCTCAAATGAATGGATCATGTAATAATATTGAGTGCCAAGTCACTGATTGATTGATGGATGATTAGTAGAATTACATTGTGTAGATACAAACAAACACACACACACACATACACATACACACAGATAGAACTTCACACAAATGGCAGCTATTGTGAACTATATTCCTACCTCTCCTAGTAAACGATGTTTCCACTGAGGGGGTTTGTTGATGATGTAACTACAAATTCCTAATAAATCTGGAAAAACCATGAAAACGTGGCAGAGGTGTTTGGATGTTTGTGGCCCGAGGGGAGGAGAGGCCACAGGGTTCGATCTGAGGAGGTGCACCGTGAATAAGTCACACTAATGTCAGACACACAGCAGTGAGGGACACATGGACAGTCTCTGCTGATGCTACACAAGCTGCTGCTAAAGTCAAACAGAGACACTTCTTACTCTGCGGCCGCTGACAGGATCTTCAGCCCCTCCTGAGGGATCCTCCTCGTCACGAACACCTTCATGAGTTTTCCAGCTGCCTGCATCACACTTTGATTAATCGTGTCCGGACAGAAGATTAGAGTTTGACAGGAAAGTTCACAGTTTGTCCACATTCATACTTCACTGATACGTCTTCTGCTTCTTCTTCTTCCCAGCACCGGGCGGGCTAGACGCCTCAATGTCACATTGCTGCCCCCTACTGTTTGTTGTTAAAGAAGTGTGTATGTATATATATATATATATACAGTATGTGTATGTATATATATATATATACAGTATGTGTATGTATATATATATACAGTATATATATATATATATACAGCATGTATGTGTGTATATATATATATATATATATACAGTATATGGATGTATTTATATATTTGAAACTTAACATACAGACAGTGGAGGTCACCATGAACAAGAGTGAGGTGGAATATCTGTGTCACCTCTAAAGGAATTTCTTAAATAATATTTAATAGGAGCAAAGTATGAAAATTGATTTGAAGTTGATATTAATATTAGTAAAAAAGTCAAATCTTATGAAACTTTACACCATGAACAAAAGGACTATTTTAAAATAATATTCAATAGGAGCAATATATACTTTATATCATCCATAAAGTGAAATTAAACTTTCAACGTTTGTCTTTTCTTCTCTCCGCTCCATGCACCCGGACCGTAACACCCAGAGTAGACGCGCATTAAATGTTCACGCTTGACCGGGTTTCGATGGTTCAACTCGATCGCGCCTTTCTGTTTTTCCTCTGCCTCGGGAGGACGTCGATGTTCCCGTGTGATTTCAGTGCGTGTGACGCCTCCGGCCGCTCCTCCTCCTCCTCCTCTTCCTCCTCCTCCTCCTCCTCTGGGGAAGCCGCTGCACTCGGTGGATTCTACACCCTGGACCCGAGGCGAGGGAGGAACAAACCGGGAGCCGACGGTGCTAACAAGCAGGAGCCAAAGGAGGAAACGGAGAGAGGGGGAGCGTGGAAGAGGTGACGAGTTTGTCTTTTTTCAGCTCATGTGTTCATTATTGATCCTGTTCACAGATCAACACGTCAGCTGTTCGCTCCGAGTTTGCTGCAGCAGCCTGTTGTTGTTTCACTGAAGCTCAGTCATATATATATGTTTATAATATATATATTTCTATGTATATATGTAATATATATAAAGACAGTCCTCGGTCTCGTGTTGTCGTTCCAACACTTCACCTCTTCATGGATTCATAACACAAAGTCCCTGTTTACATCGAGCTGCAGCCTGATCACACATCTGCTGCTGTAATGGAGGCGTCCCCAGCTGAGCTCATGTGCTGGTGACTGTCAGCAGTCAACAGCAGTGGTGAGTTGAGCTCAGATCCGCGTTCAGACACTTTGATTTTATTTATAATGGTCGACTTCACTGCACTGAACAACCTGAGACCGTAGCCCGAGGCACATCCTTCAATTCAAGACAACTTTATCAGTAAAACAGTAAAGACACGTCCACTCCAAACACAACAAGGAACTGCATTATCAGCATTTAATCACATTCAAATAAGTTATTTTAATTGTTTTGTGGTTTTATTACATAATAATGACGCACATTGACAAAGCAGTTTCATCTCTGTTTGTGTAAAGAATATTAAATTCTACCTTCTGAGTCAAGATATGGATGAAATTGTAGATTACAATCTTTGTAATGTTGGTATGTGTTACACAAATATTGTGACACGTTTGATTTCTAGACTCTTCTTCTTTAAAGATTACATTTTCTAGGATTTATATTACCGACAGTACTTCATGGTATTGAAGAAAAGATTCTGTTAACGCATAAATGGAATGAAGTGATCTGGGCCTAATAGGACCTGAGTCAATGTGCTGTGGGGAGGCAGTGGGAGCTGCTTGGTGTTTGTTCTTGAGGATCGACGGGGGAGTCCCAGGTATTTCACCTCTCGCGGCTTCGCTAACGTCTTGAAAAGCTTTGAGGTCGAATGTGAGTCCTTGACCCAGCCGCCCATCATGTGAGTCATGGGGGGGGGTCACATGAGCTATAGTAGGAATGGGTGTCAAGCTGCCTGGGGTCGGATCTCAAGACTACATTGGACATGGTTGAAAAATGACATCAGAGATAATTTCCTTCCAGTGTTTGTAGACAGCTTTGTTCTCTCCTCTTTTAAACCATATCTGCTCAAAACCACACACCCGGTGTCCTCACACTCTTTTTTTTCTTTCCCCGATGCAATGCTTGTTTTGCTGGATGTAATAAAACCCAAATATCCATTTTATTTTCAGAAAAACACACCCCAAGTGTTCACCCCATCCACCGCACACATTAGGCTGAGGAACCTGCAGAGCCTGTCTCAGCTTGCCAGCCACAGTGGGTTTAGTGCAATGGCTCTGTTGACCCTGCACAGGATTCCATCCCTCTCCACCGCTCCTGTGAGTCCACCCTTCTCCACGCCTTGTTTTACCCAAACAGGCTGGACATTTTGCATCATGTCCTCACACATGAAGGTTACCTTTCGCTTCAGTAACCATCCAGGACTATATGAGCTGCTCGTGCTGAACTCTCTTGTTCATGAATGTGTCCTTTGTGGGTATCTTCACTGTACTTGCCTGAATGATAAAGAGGCTGTTGTTGCTGGGGATGTGATTGCACTGATAAGCTTTATTTGCCACAGATTTGCGGTCAACAAAATAGACTTTTTTAGCTCCCATTCACATTCATTACAGCAGTTTCAGAGAGTGATTGAATCAGTCTGTCCAAATCTATTGAATGCATTCAAATAATCCTTCACTGCATCATCAGGCTCTGTCAGTAACTTTAACTCTTCTCATTCTCTCATTCTTCTGTTGAGCTGATTTAACTTTACGTCAAAAGCTTGTTCTTGTTTATCATTGCCAACTAAATCATACATGACCTGACTGTGGGTCCAAGTCTCCTTTTATTTGCATATTTTGTCACTGAATCGAATCACTCTACTATCTTAACTTGTGCTCTCTCTTTTTTTTGTTATCTTCTCCAACACCTCATCGTTCCTCTCCTGGCTCCTGCCCACTTCTCCTCTTTTCAAATTTCAGTTTTTTTTTCTTGACTCTGTCTGGACTTGTCAGTTGCGTAACAGGTAAAGTTGCTGTCTCCATAAACCCTTACTACTGCTGCTACTTCTCTCTTGTTTCTTTCCCCCTCCCGGCATTGCATTTTTTATTCTTACCTTCTATAGTTTCACTGCTAATCTCTTTTTTTTTCTCTCACCCCTCAGTATCCTCTTCCTTCTACTCACATGTCACTCTTTGTATCTGTCTTCCACTGCACCATATCTGTGTTGCACCACATTTCACCCCAGTAAATGACAGTTTTTCCGGCCATATGTGTCAGCACTTTCAGCAGGAACAACATCTGATGCGCTGCCACTGGTGCTCCCAGAAAGCTTGTCATAGTGTTTGAACAGTGTGAGCCTGTGGGAGCATTAGAAACAGTGATCAGCATGTTCTCATAGTTATTACCTTATTACAGCAGCCCAAGCATCTGCCTCCAACTTTCATGTGCAAGCTCGACAGAATCTTCAGTCTGCTGGAGTGAAAAGAAAATATCAATTGACGTTTTTAAATTAAAAATTAAATAAAATATAGAAATCATCAAGAATTAGAAAATTGATTTAACATTGATTAGGTTAGTTGAACACATCAGAGATTAAATATTGATATTTTTCTTCTTGGTGTAACTTTGTTGTGGTTTATTTTATTTCCTAAGGATGAAAGCCTCCAAAAAAGAGGGAGACTGCAGAAAAGGTAGATGTGGTCCCTCGTCCTCTCAGAATAATGATAACCTGCTGCTTGACGTTAAACTAACTGTGTGTATGCGTCTCAGGGAGAGCTTTGCCCTTGTAAAAGGGGCGGTGCTTCTGCTGGAAGAGGGCGAGGGCGTGGACCCTCACGATGAGACAACTCACTCACCAACATCTCCCACAAAGCAAGGCGGCAGAACGTCAGACAAACAGCACAGACACCTCCACGCCATGATTGAGCAGCTCAGGCCAGAGGACACCATCCAGCTGGTGAGGCCTTGTCTTCTCACACACGATAGAAATCGGATCAGATCTCAGGTTAAAGGGGCCAAATGCAAACTTTACTGTTATACAGCCATTAACAGCTGTGTGCTGACCAGTTTAGTTAACATTTTTCTCCTCAAACCACAAACAGAGGAGAAGAAAACAGATATGTTTATTTAAGTGGACCGCAGCCAGTGTCTGGGTTTCTCTGGAAACATAACACAGACTTCCTTGACTTTTAATTTTCCCTAGAAGGCCGAAGAAAATAGAAAGCACAGGATATTTTCCCTGTGTGTAATCAGCCAGGTTTTTTTAGATTAATGGGGGTCTCCCGACTTCAGAAGAAACTTTTACAGAGCATCAGACCTTTACCTCTTGTCTCCTTTCTGTCTCACACATCCTCCGTCTCTCTGCTGCTCTTGTTCTCTGCCATGCAGGCGGTGCAGCTGGAGTCCTTTAACCCCAGCAGAGTCAGGTATCTGATCGTGGTTTCCACCCTCGGCAACAAACAGGAGAGCATCCTGCTGGGCATGGATTTCCCCAACTCTGACAGGTGTGTGTCACCAGCATGCTGCACTGCTTCACCGAGAGCAAGCATCCATTCGGTTAACAACTTCTGATTCAGCTTTGACCTTGAGTCTCTGTGTATCTACTGGCTCATTGCAGTGACCAGTGCACCATCGGCTTGGTTCTGCCGATATGGAGCGACATGCAGGTGTATCTGGATGGAGACGGGTAAGAAACATTTTAATTACACATTTAGCAAAAGGGGAAAGGAAGATTAAATTATTAAAATTTCAAAGTAGAAGCAATGATTTTGGGAGGCTGCAGCACAGATGGTGCAGCTCGATGCCTGGGATTCTGGCCAGAGATAATGAGAATGAGTAATGACTCTATTTATGGAGTTGAATCATGCTCTATAAAATACGACTGTTCCTATCACTCGCTCAGACCCTGGGATAATTATCGAGCTCATGTCTTTTTGAAAGTGAAGTATGTTTGGCTTCGGTCTATGGCTGAGAGTGTAGCTGAAGAAAGGTCTGGTAAATAAACTCCCTGTTTTTGCTGTAGTGCATCCAGAACCCCTAAATATCCACTCCAGCTTTAATGTCATTACAGTTTACGGTCTAAAAGCAGTCAGCATGACTCGGTGCAGTGGCTCTGCTGTCTACTAACTAATCCACCATCACACGCTGAATGTTAGCGATACAAAGCCATTTTGATTGGCTGCCATGTTCGCCCTCGTCAGGCTGGATCGCACCTCCAACTGTGCGCATTTCTTTCTCTCTCACTGTCCTCACATTTCCTTTCCTCACGAGAACAACCACTCATTGACACTGAATAACCCGAACAGAATTAAATTCTAAAAATAATTGTGCCTGTTTGTCAGCCTGCAGTGTAGCAACGCTCACAATGCTTCTTATTAGTGAGACTTCCTCTTCTCACTTTCTTCTCTTTCACTTTCTGATCCTCTGACTTAATTATCAGAGCTCATGTTTTCTCACTTTTTTCCTCAGTGGCTTCAGTGTGACATCAGCAGAAGAGACCAGGATTTTTAAGCCTGTCTCCATGCAGACCATGTGGTGAGTGAAATACTGATACTCAGGTGTTCACACCAAGCATGAAAGTACTTTTACTTTTACTGGCATCCAGCACGACACATCTAATGTACCTAGTGACATCATCTCCTTCTACCCCCTCCCCACCAACATAAGGTCAGTGCTGCAGGCGTTGCACGGCTGCTGTGAGCGGGCGGTCAAGGCAGTGTTGATCCCAGGCTCTGGCCTGGAGTGGGCCCAGCACTACCTCAAGCACATCGAGTCAGACCGCTTCTGCCTCAATGAGTGGGAGGCCATGGACGATCTGGAGTCAGTCCGCAAGGACATTGGTGGACAGAGGTAAAGAGGCGTTCTCTTTAAAAGACAGCGCAGCCCAGTGGTGGATCAAGTACTGAGATATTTTACAACATGAACACAAAAGTATTCGGCAAAATATAATTGCAAAGTAAAGTAAAAGTGCTTACTGAATAGGCCCATGTGAGTGTTATGTTGAATATATTCTAAAAGTTGATACCACCACATTCGTGTACTCTTGATCTGCAAAATAAGCAGTAACTACTGCTCTCAGATAAATAAAGTTAAGTTACGTACCTCCTAACTGTGTATGAAGCATTGTACTTGAACAAATGTCCTCAGCTACTTTCATCTGCCTGTAGTGATAAATGTGTAAATAAAATGAAAGTTGTCATCTGTTCTTATTTCTCATGCACACCTGACAGTCTTACTAAAAGTTTGACTTTTCTTTGTTTGGGAAGTTCTGCAGACAGATTCTCGAACGAGATGCTGATCAAAGAGAACCTGAGAGACATTATGAGGACTGAAGACCTGGACAACCTCACGTCTAAAATGGTGAGACGTGGGCAGAGGAGGAAGTAGGAACTTCTGGACCAGGGCTGCGGAAGAGAATCTGTCAAATATTAACAAGAGGATGTTTGCAAACCTGTGTTGATCTTTGCTTTGCTCTGCTGTAGGTGCACACTAACCTAAAGTCGAGGATCGGCTTCGATATGGAACCTTACAAGCAATACATTGACAATGAGATCCTGGTCACCATGGCTCAGATGGATAAACCCTCTAAAATGTTAGACTATCTCTATCTGGTGAGTGGTAGCTCAGATCCGCAGAAGTATTATCGTAAGTTTTATTTTACCAGCTTTGTTTTTATTTGGTGTATTTGGTATTTGCTTTCATCAGGATGGTGTAAGTGACTGTAACTTCCTCTTTGTGGCAGACGTGTGATGACAGTGATGGGGAAGACGTTTGTGTCGGCCCTTTGCTTTTCCTCCTCTGTGCCCTCAGTTGAACGTCTCCTTCTTTGTCTGGTTTCAGGGCTCTGAGTGGAACGCTGCTAACTTTGAGGAGCTGCAGAAAAACAAGTCAGTGCCACAAACTCCAAAGCTCTTTGTATCCTTGTTTTCCTGAGTCACTGCCACTGCTCTGACTTTGCGTCTATATGTTTTTCAGTGTTGGCTACATTCTGAATGTGACGAGAGAGATTGACAACTTTTTCCCAGAGTCCTTCACGTACATGAACATCAGAGTGTACGATGTCGAAGCCACCGACCTGCTCCCCCACTGGACAGACACATACAACTTTATCAACACTGCAAGGTAGTCCTGAAACCCTGCACACATTAGAAGACTCTTAAAATCCAAACTTGTGTAAAAGCATTGCCCTGACAAACATGCTGCTATCATGGCATCAACCATATCAAATGGAGGTACTGTATGCTACATCATCAGACAAACATGTTTATATGTTTGTGACTGTTCAAAAAGGGAAATAGGTCTTTTGTAGTGACTAGGGGTGCATCAGTCATGGATCAGATCTGTTTTCAGATCTGCAAAAAAATGGAGACAAATGTAACTTTGCTTTTAATTAATCAAAAAACATTAACTATAACAATGAACCTTTGCAACGTTCCAGGTGTTCAATGTTGTATCAAAATGTAAGGTAAAGTATTTAATATTTCCTTGTTAAACGGAAGTGAATTAAAAAAGCCTTTGTAGTTGTGTCTTCAAGTAAAAGCTTTACCTTACACAACACTTTCACTAAAGTCTGTGTAACTGTCATTTAGAATCTGTCGGCTGTGAGAGTAAACCGTGTGCACTGTGTTTTGTTTTCCTCTCATCTTAAGCTGTGAGAATCTACAATTGTCAAAAATGTACACTGAAGTGTTCTGTACCAGAAAAGTGCTTTTTACCTGTGGTCTGTCAGAGCTGCCACCATTTCTCCAGCTCATAGCAGAAGCTGGTAAACTCCAGTGTCAAGTAAAACCCTAAACCACTGATGGAGCTTTTCTCTTGATCTCTGTGTTGCAGGAAGAGGGGACAGGCGGTGTTGGTGCACTGTAAGATGGGCGTTTCTCGCTCTTCATCCACGGTGATAGCCTATCTCATGAAGCAGTATCGCTGGACGTTGGATACGGCGTTGGCCTACGTCCGGGATCGCAGGCCTATCATTCAGCCCAATGAAGGCTTCCTAAAGCAGCTGCAGACCTACAATGGTATCCTCAACGCAAGGTCAGACACAGTGTTGGGTCTATTAATGTACAAAGATCTATATTCCATCTATATTTTTCGTTTTAGAATTCGTTTTCTGCTGTTTGGGACCGTTTTTTGACGTTGATTCATTTGCTTGTGGATTGTGTCGTCTGTTCTCTCATCATTGCAGCCAGCAGCGTCACAGCGCGCTCTGGAGGAGAAAGTCGAGAGACCAAAGACAGAAGTCACTTCGCAAAGAGGAAGGAGACGAGGAAGGAAAAGCAGAAGAGGAGGAGGAAGAAGAAGAGGACGAGGAGGATGAGGACGAGGAGGAGGATGTAGAGAGTTCAGATGAAAAAGATTCCGGTTGCTCAGAAGAAAGAGATGAGTCAGAGGATGAAGGAGAGGTAAGTAGTCACGACAATAACATGTTATTATCATTTGAAATCGTGAAGATACTTATTTTATCTTCATGGCTTTAATCTTCTCAATCACACCCAGGTGTTTGTAGAACCCGTCCCCTCGTCTGACACCAATCAGGAACCTGGGCAGATGGGACCAGCGGGTGTCGGCCCCACAATAACGATTAACGAACCAGAAAAGGTGCGAGAAGCTGCCTGACACCATGAATATGTATCTTCCCATGGCACTACAGCATTCACTCATGTTCTTAGATATTCTTTTTCTCTCTGTCTCTCCTGCAGGTCGCTTCGAGCATTAATCGCAGCGGCAGGATGAACCTCTTCTCCCTCATGCAGTCCATCAGTGAACTGGATGCTGAGGATAAGGGACGTGAGCAGGTAAATGAAGCAAAGAGCAGAGAAGAATGAGCAAACGTAAAATCTGTTTGTCTGTCGAAATTACTTGGACTAAAGGAAGAGTTCTTTGTGACGGTGCCGGGAAATTGTAGATATAGAAAATATGGGTGTGGAGTTGAGTAAGACTTCCTGAGACTCTAATGTGTTCAAATCTGTTACAGCTTCATTTCTCCGGCCTTAAATTAAATAAAACTCTGGACATTTATAGCAGCACCTGTTGCCTGATTGAAATAATCGGACTTCGTCTTTACTGCGTGTTTATTAAAACTGTCAAAAATATAAAATTTACTTTCAAATATGAGAAAGAAAATTCACGAATTGTCACATTTAAGAAAATGGAAAAATAAAACTATAATTGGATTATCAATAAAGCTAACGCTAAGCAAATCGATTAACCTACTATTCGTTGCAGCTCTAGAGCCAATATTCATTTCCATCTCTGTATGTAACAAATCTGCTCCTCGTTTATTTATTCCGAAGCTTCCTGGCAGCCCGAGGCGGTCTCCAGGACAACGGAGGAGAAGCCACGCACGACGAGGTCTGACTCACCAGAGTGCGTGTGTGGACGTTTCACCTGAACCACGCAGCCTGCCGGACGCCGGACCGAGTCAACCCTAGAGTGGCAGAGCAGGGAAGGATAGAGGAGGAGGAGGAGACTGAAGGAACGAGCTCCAGTAACAAGCCAAGGTTTTTTTTTTTACACTGTTCATATTATTTCGATGTTGAGAGTTTAAGATTCATGGTTTGAAGGTCATGTCATTGCATTTCTCTGTTCATAATCATTAGAACTGATGGGCCACTCTCTGTAAAAGGATTTTGCTGCAGTCTTGATGTACCAGTAAAAGCTAGGATGACAGATTATTGTATTATTATGGTTTATAGTTTTTAATTTGAGAACATATCCTACCACATAGAGACGCTACGGTTTTTCCTCCATGTAACGTCCTCTTTCTCAAGCTCCATTCGTTACCCCTTCCCTTCTTCTTCTCTTGCGTCAGCCCTCTCAAAATTATCTCTATGCAATTACTGTCCTCTGTAAATTAGGCTGTATGCTGCCAATCCTCTCTCTCTCATCAGAAGTCTTTTGCGTTCGCTGCTCACTGATGTGAGGGTTCTTCTGTGTCTAAGCTGTGCATTACGGACCAAGTCAGGGCCAGTTTCATGGCACAAACCTATTTGCCAAACAATGTATTCCAATGTGCCAATGAATATAGTGTATTTAATTGAGAATATGTATCATGTCACCCATTTTATTTTTATTTTCTTAAACACCAGGACTGTGTGAGTGCCTTCAACCTGGGAAAGAAATTCAACTCTGTGACCGGTGTTTTTAATGTTTTCACTATGAGTGGTGGCTGAATATTGGTTTTACCCTGTACTATTTCTCACTTGGTGTGATTGCAGTATAAATGTGACTTTTAAAGGTTTTGCATGTGTGCATAAAGCATATATATGTGTATATATATATATATATATGTATCCACAGATAATTTGTTTGAAGAACTGGGTGCATGTTGTGTTTTTCTACCAGCCTACGAGAGAAAAGCTTTCACGTATTTATATGAACATTTAATGGATACGTTTATCAGCATATTGTTCTCAGATTTACTAGATGCTGATATCGAACACGATCTCATCATGCTGGGTTTAACTTTATCCAGAGAAACCAAGCTACATCTTACTTCACATTTAATCTGCATGCTAGGTAAAACACCATGCACTTTATATCCCACAACACTGTTCCCACTGCCTGAGCCAACATCAAGCTATGCTGTACTCGCTCCTTTTAGAAGACTTATAAGTCTTTGTCTGTTTAAGCCCACCTCTCTATGCCTTGTTGATTTGATCTCTCCACTGTCTACACTGTCTCACTCTTGTTTACAAGAAGCACTATGAGTGAAAAATAAATAATCATCCTCCAACAAACCTGATTTGTTTCTTGATTGAATTACACACCAGAGGACAAAAATGCACGTGTCCACAAACATTTTATCCACAAGAGACAAAGCACAAGCAACTGTACTTTCAGCACTCAGTTCACTCATGATATTGTCATTTACTCATTCAATTTCTGTACAGTTATTCTCAGCAGAGCAGACACAAGAGATGTGATTGATGAAAACTAAACTCATGTTCCGATGTATTTCCTCCTGGGTTCACTGAGCGTGACTCCTCCTTCTTTCATTGCTGCTCTGAAAGCCTGAACCTGTGAAAGAGAAAAATCCAGAGGAGGTACATGAAGCAGGTGATGAAAGAGATCAACATGAAATGAATCACTGAATATTGTTTTTGCAATTCATGCTTTATGTTCTCACAGCGTCTGAGCGGTACGTCCAGGGAATGGCCCTGTACACCATCCTTGTGATGCCGGCCTGTTGGCACCGTTGCGCCAGAACCTCTCCCACAGCTTGACAGGCTGCCACACACCTGGTGGAGGCCAGCTCCTTCCTCAGAGACCACTCTGTGGTTGAACAGGTCAGCACAGGGACCGGCGAGCTGCTGGAGAACACTTGTGCCGTCACATGATGCTGGCTGCGAGAAAACACCAACCTGAAACGTGACAAAACCTAAAACGTTAGGAAACAGATGCAGGAAAATCCAAAAGCTTAAAGAATGTGTGAAATCAAAATGATGACTGTTGCAGAAAGCTTCGCAAAAGCTTCAGGATGGATTAACACAAAACTTGTTGGAAGGATGTGGCATGGGTCAGGAAAGAAGCCATACAACTTTGGTGTGGATCAAGGGGGATGTGGGGAATTATATCTTTGAGTGTGTGTTATCTGGTGCAGATTGATTGAATATAAGGGAACTGCAGGGTCATGGCAGAAGTACGCGCTGTGCTAAGTGCCGTTCTAGTCTGTTGGCCCTTGGCTGAAGTATTTACTCTACTGGGACATTCTTTTTCTTAATGTGGTCTTTATACGTGAAGTCACTTATCATTCAATCAAAATAAAGTGCAATGCCAAAATCTGTTTTGTTCTTTAAACTAAAATTCAACTGGGTAACTGGATATTAAAAACATTATCAGCTATGTCTTGATGAATCTCCTGTGGGGAAATTAAAAGTCTCACATATTAACTGGCAGTTTTTTCCCCAAAACATAAACAAATAATAAAATACCCCTGTAATTTTTTATTTTTGTTATATTCTTTACATATTGTGAAGACATACAAACTTTTGGTGCCAACAAAGGTGCATCTGACTTCTCTCAAGACTGAAAACTAAACCTAAAAAAACACTGGAGCTCAATAACATTATTAAACAAGTAAATAAGAAAGAAAAGAGTGAAACACAGACACACACAAAGTCTAGATATCTCTCTCTCTCTCAATTTTTTCAATTCAATAAGCTTTATTGGCATGACTGTGTATTACAATATTGCCAAAGCGTTATAATATAATAATAAAATAATATAAAACATTGTATTATTTTAGCAAAATAATAAATTATACATCAATAAAACTATACTTTATATCAATATTTAAAAAGGTGTGTATCATACAGAGCTAATTATTACAGAACAATAGCTATCTAATGATCAGTATGTACATCAGTGTGCAGGTTGTTGTGCAGCTCTCTCTCACTCTCTCTCTCTCACTCTCTCTCTCAAACACACACACACACCTGTGGTAGAACTCCCGTTGGGGCCAGCTCGTGCTCCAGCCCCGGTCCTTCACAGCCAGGGCCATCTGCTCCAGGTTCCGCGGGTTTCTGTTCACGAAGGTCGGGTTCACAGCTTGATTTTCATCCGCGCTGGGCTCCGGCTGAGGGGCCGCCTGGTTCAGAGCCCGCGCTGAGACACGGACAACACGCGAAGGGAGAAAACAATGGCTGCAGAGTCAGTAACTGTTCTCTGTGACGAAACAGCCTTCAAATAACACGAACAGTGAACGGAGCCGGAGGACCAACCTGTGTGACTCGTAGCGACACGACACGGTTGAATCTGACCGAACAACCGCCGCAGGCTGCGGTTGAATCCGCTCAGAGCCATGTCCTCCCCTCGGGTGTTCAGCCAAAGCTTGTGTGTGGTGGTGATCCCCCGCTGAGGCCTCGTGTCGTCAGAAACACGGATTCTGCTGCAGTTTGTCACCAACTCACCGTGACACGTCCAGCGCCATCTTTGACTTTCAGACAACATCCGGTTCACTGTGTGTCCCTCCACCGGAAGCACTCACAGAAACAACCGGCAACAAACCTCAACAGTTTAAAGTTCCGCTTCACCAAGAACAGTGGCATTTGTTTTCGATTTCATTAAAAATAAGTTATTGACATTACATTATTTACTATTTACAGATTATTCTCTAGAATATTTGTGTTTATTGTTTCTTAGTAAAGGGGCCTCTCTTTCTCTACACGGGTGGAAAAAAGTTAGTTTCTGCAGATTAGGATTTTTAAACCAATGTATAGTATAATCCTAAAATCATCAATTAATCAATTAATCTTTAGGTCCATGTGACAGCTGGTGAAAATGTGAAGACAATCTTTAAAGAGATATCATGTTCAAGAGGCCAAACTCTCTGTGAGCTCAATCTTTAACCACCAAGATCTAATCAGTTCATCCTTGAGTCCAAATGAATATTTGTATGAAAATTTGAAGAAATTCCCTCAAGACGTTCTTGAGTTGTTGTGTTCACAAAACTGGGAATCATGTCCAGACAGATGGACAACTTGAAAACATAAATCTCTGGCCACTGTCACCCGGTGCGGAGGCAGAGATATTTTGTTCAGTTCACATCTTCATACTAATCTGCTGACAACACATGAGAATATTTTCTTGAATGCAAGATTTCTCATAATGAACCATTATTAATGATTAGAAACTGTTTGAGTGTTCACTTGTATGCACTTAAATGTAAATTTCTTAGTTTATCTATACTTCAATGTTGCACATAGATAAAACTGACTTGTCTTTACTTCTTATACCAATAATCAAATGTTAAGATTTAAGGACTTCTTCCAATGCTGGCAACTTCAGTGATGAGTCTTAAATACACAAAATAATGACTTCCCATGTTAAGATAAAGCGAGAAAAAATGTTTTAATTTCAGTTGAGATTTTACAGTGTAAACCTGCAGAAAACAAGAGACATGTCCATGATGTTTATGAAAACAGATGATTTAATTTATCCAAAAGTCTTCATGAATAACAAGCACTCAATCCCAGTAAGGCACCTGAAAAACTGTAACTACCAATAAATACCTCTTGTGTGTTTATGCTTGGAAGACATGACAATGAGTGGAAAGTACCTTTGGCTCATGAACATCATAGATATATTTGTGATGTAATGGTAGTTGATCATTATTATTATTATTCATTTCCCACAGGCTGTAGAATAGCACAGTTAAGACAGAGACATCCTTTAAGTGTTGCAGTCCAAGTGCTCAATACACAGGTTAATGTAACCGTTTGGCAATAGTGAGTAATCATTGGGCTGATCATATTGGAGCTGATGCATTGATCATAGAGGAGAAAGAGAAAGGGCTCAGCTTGTATCCTGTTCCACTGTAGAACTTGTTCTGGAACTCCACCCTGCAAGAGACAGAAGCAGCATCAACGCACACAGCAAAGTAGAATGACACTAAGTAGACTAAGTAGAGCACAAACCTCCACCAAGGCCCAACATCCTCCACATGAAAACACATTTAATTTCACTAGATCCAGATTTTCATTGCACGACATTGCACATAAATATCTGTTCCCCAAAGGTTGCAAGGTTTTTTCCCCCCTGCCTACCTATAAAATAGTATTTATATGTCATGTGTCGATCTGAAAATGGATCCAGATCTTTTTTTGAACTGGACCGGGCCTTTTAGGCAAATGTCTTCTTTGTCCTCTCATCCTTACCAGTGCAGACGGAGAGCGTGGAGGAAAGCTGAGAGGCCCTCCATAACCAGTAGAATGCAAACAGTCAAAATGGCAAAGAAGGCAAAAATCACAAAAAGGACCACAGATCCCACATAGCCCTGCCACCTCAGGGCAAGACGCATCACCATCACCCACAACACTTCAGACAGCTCTGTGGAGACACAAATAACCCACAGTCATGTAGCCACAATCACATAGAAAAATGCTATCATGTCTATAAATAACGGAGCATAAACAGGAAGTCTGTCTGATTCTATGCATCATGTGAGAATGAAAATACACGTGTGTGTGTGTGTGTGTGTGTGTGTGTGTGTCAGTATATGTGCCACTCACGTGCATGTGCCAAGCTGAGAGCCCAGAGTCGGAGGTAAGAGGCAGTGTTGGAGATGCAGCCCAGGCAGTACTCTATGGTGTGGATGGCCTGATGCATGAACACGTCTGCAACATCAAACTAATGCAGACAGCACAATCAAGAACAGATTGACAAGAAACAAAAGAATACGATTTCTGAATGAACGTAATCTATTTAGTGAATGAAGTCACTTGTTCTTCTCTCTTACCTCCTCTTCTCCAGCTCCTCCATCCACCTCCCCCTCATAAGTATTGATGGAGCCTTCATCATCCGCCAGCAGACGTCTGTCTTCCTCCAGATGCTGGGGGGATTCAAATTGTGTCCAAAGTAAATGTACTGTTCTGTGGTTGTATGTCTCCACTAACCAGTGCAGTTTCATCCTAAATACTTTTAATTTCCAGACTCATGAGGCCACTGTGACCACCTAAATCTCATGAATTCACCTTAAAGTGACAGCTGCTCAAAATTTGAAGAAGTTCCCGACAGGCAGACTTGAGATATGTTCAAGAGGCAAAAACATGTTTTGTGTCTTCACAGTGACCTTCACTTTTGACCACCAAAATCTAATCAGTTCATTCTGGGGTCCAAGTTAACTTTTCTACCAAATTTGAAGAAATTCCATCAAGGTATTCTTAAAATATGGGGCGGATGGATGCACAGCCTGAAAACATTAATACCTCTGGCCACTCGCTGTTGCCGATGCGGAGAC